CTCATCCTCAGTCCAGCTGGCTCCTACCTTCCACCCGTTACAGTGTGTGAGGTTTGGCAGAGTTTGGTTCTCTGCAGAACAGCATCCTATGTTATGGGTCAAAGCTCCCCTTACTGCCCATCTGAAGATCTGGCTCCGCGAGACCTTTTGCCCTCCAGGCAGCTGTGAGCCACTTCTTGGGCAGTCCATGAAAAGGTTTTGAATTTCTGGGTTCGGCTGCAGCGATGTGTAAGCATTTTATTCTTTATGGGAGGATGTGACCTTTGAAACTAATTGGTTACACAAAGGACCTAAATGAAAGAGCCTCATCTGGGCTAAATAAAGCATAGAAGGTTTGACTTTGGCTCAGAGGGAAATTGAGTTAACGTACAGTGATACCATCTCAATGAGCTAATCAAGATAATTGCCATATTCGTGATTTAAACAATACATTAATAAGAATTTCCAGATTCTGAAGTAGATAAACAGCAACTGCTAAGAAACTTTGTAAAGGCTGGTAGCAATTTTTTCAGGTCAAGTGAAAAAGCAGCAACAACAAAGAAGCAAGTAGTCACACAGCATCCTTTGTCTTTGACTTGAGGAGTTGAACAACAAGAAGCCATTCCCCAGGCAGAGTTTCCAGATCAACTTCCTTTGCTGCTGATTATTACTGTCACAGGTTCAACGGGAAGGCAAGTCTTTAATCCAGTTACTGGACAAGCTGAGCTGCATTGCATTAATTGACAGCGAATGTCAAGCCCTCTGCAGAGGCAGAGAAGGTCTATATAATGCTAAAACCCTCAAAGAAGTCTTAGATAGGCCTTTGGGGACAGGCTAATTACTTCAGGGAGTTAAGTTTCGCTCTCAAAGGAAAGGGAAACTGCACAGCATTATATACTGAACCTCATTCAGCGCTAAACAAAATAAACCAGGATTGTTACAGCAGGCTTTTGTGTAGGATGCGTGAAAGGAAGAGCTGTGAGTGCTGTGAGTGAGTCTGCCACCACCTGAAGACAGCATGTGTTCCCTTCCCCTACAGAAATGAAGGGACAAGGTGCCAGCCTGAACCCTTGGAGGACCTGGATTCTGTGGTGGGCCGTGGAGATAGACCTCCAATACTGTGTCAGTGTATTCCACCTCCTTCTCTCCAGTCACACCAACGTGACCATATGTCACAGCTCTTTGAGCCTTATGACAAAGGCTGAGAAATGCCATGGTAAAAGCAACAACTAAAGGAGAACTGGAGATGCTGGACATGTACACATGTAGTGTTGGGTGTCTGGTTTATGGTCCTCTGTAGACAGTCAGGTAAAGGTAAATCTTATAAGGATGTTCTTCATGGGGCCACTGGTGCAGTGTAAACTTGCCAGCTGAATTTATGTTTACTCTTAACTTTTTAAACAGTGGTGTCCAGCCTGCCCTGGCCCATAAACAACTATTATGTGCTGTGAGAAACATGAAGCTTCTCCTCAGAGTCAGATTTGATGTCTTTCTTTCCTTGGACATGAGCAAAACAGAAATATGAGCTTCACCTTCCCCCTCAGCCAGGACTGAAAACTACTCGGAGCACATTCCAGTAGCTCATGATCACAGGATTTCTCTAAATGACTTAAACTTCCCCAATGTAAATTTTCTGATGCTCTGATACAGAAACCAATAACCTGAAGGTATTGAATGCTGATTTGGTTTACTTCATCTTCTTTGCCCTCTTGGATATCAAAGAACTTAGATTTCATCCTGACATGCCTGCACTCATCCCTGCAGTTTGTGTTTGGCTCATGCAAATCTTCTGTCTGGTGAGAATATATCTTAAGAAAGGTATCCAGAGTCATGATCTAAGATACCAGGAAATGGAGAATATACTGCTTCTCGTGGTTGGTCGCTCTACTGGTTAGGTAATCTCAGCCTTAAAAAATCATGCCTTCCGTCAACTTGAATGTCTCTAAGCTTTGCTTTCCAGCCCCTCACCTTTCTCAACCCTTTCTCTGCTAGATTAAGAATGCCTCTGCAGGTGATAGTTTTGTGCTGACATGCTGTGATCTAGACACTTCTCAGTCATCTTCATGTTAAGATAAATAGATCGTCGTCTTAGTTCTCCAGCATAAAGCACTTTCTCCCCACAAATGCATTTTTGTAGTGTTTTTCTGCACAGCCTTCAATTTTCACTGTCCTTCATAAACTGCAAACATCAGAACTGACAGTATTAGTCTCATCAATACTGTTGAGGGATAAAATCAGCTTCGCACTACCCTCTACAAGTAGAGTCAGATGAGTAAATGTATTCATTTTGTTTGTCCATCCAAGCAACAAGTTAGACAGATTTGCCACAGAATTATGCTGAGAATCACGCTGCATGAATTGATGCTTTGCTCACTACAACCTCTGAGAGTCAATGCTCAGCCCAGTTCTTTAGATGTGGCCTGTTACATGTGTACCCTGGCATTAGACTGTGTAAGAACATATTTTGTTTAAATGAAACCTACTTTATCAAGCAATCTAAGTATCTCACCTTTATTTATTAATCTTACTTTATCAGTTCTGATTTTATATTTTTTCCCAGATTATGTGTGTAAAACCTGGGTAGAAACAATCCCTGCCAATCCACCTGAAACAACCCCATTGGATGATTCCCTGTTGCTGATTGCCTGTTGAGAGCTATCACAGAGCAAGCTCTTGAGTCATTTGACATGTACTTCTCACAGCTGAGAAGAGCAGACTGATCTGCTTTCCAAGACCCTAGTGGACACGTTAGGATAAGATCAGACAGGACAGGATAGTATAGGATAGGATGAAGAGTGACAGTCTCGGATTCAAGCAAGGCAGATTTAGACTGAGCATTTAAAAAAGCCTTCTAACAATAACAATAAGATAGGTAAATACATTGTTATCACTAGCAATATTTATGAATAATTTAGATGACTTTGATAGGATCAATTTGACCAAATTGTAGACATCTGCAGCGTAAACATCTGTATCTGAGCTAATCATTCTGGACTACCTTTACAGAGAGAAACTTTGAGAGTACAACTCATCTCATCTCACCCTAAAGCAAATGCCTGACATAACTCATAAGACACTCACCTTGAAAGTGTCTGTTTCTCTACATTGCCTATAAAGGGAGGCTGAGGTAACTAATTCAGATATAGACTTTTACCCTGTAGTTGTATAAAGCTGCATCAGAATCTGTCAGGAACAGTTAAATAGAGATAACTGATCACAGGTTTGGATGAGATATCTCTGAAGACACATTCCCAATTCTATTTTCAGTGATGCTGTGCTATCATATAGTGCTGACTTGCTCTAGTCAAGATTTCTGTAGTCTAACCACTGGAGAATACTGTCTTCCATTTAGCTCTAAAAAGCTTTCTTATGACTCTTCTGAAGTGCATAAAAGGACCAGAATGATGACTTTCACAAATGCTCTATTTTGTTGGATAGCAAGAAATAATGGATCACTGTTATAAATATATCCACAGAGTAAGTTAGCTTCTGTCTCATTTTATCTCCTTTATATTTTCAGTCACACTTTTAAATAAAAGAATATGTTTGAGTTATAAATCTGACCATTATTAGCTGTAATGTTTAGTTTGCTTCACTGTCCATGGCTACATCTGTTTTCAAGCTCAGGAACTATTGGTTTTTTTTCAAAAAGAAAATACCTCCTTGATTTAGCTCAATGGTCCTGACAATATAGCAGGCTTTACTCCTATAGAGGAAAACACCCCATCTTTCCTCCCTACAGCCTCCCTCAAGCAAATTCAGTGTAAGAGATGGAAAGGTATTAACTTTGATTCACTGAGAAATATTGCTATATTAATTGCAAGCAGAACATTGATGGAATGCAAATAACCTTTCAAAAGATTCATCACAGAGTTTCCGTCAGTTCTTTTTGAGGCAGGAGCAGAAATAGTGAGTATTAAGCAAAGAAATTTGAAACTGGGCCTGGAACATTTTAAAGAAAGAACTAGAGCAACTGCATGTCTAACACACGAATATGTGGGTTTAGCCAGCTTTCCTTCCCTGAGTCTCTTTTTTTACAGTTTTTTCTTTGTAATCTTGGGAACTGTCTATTCTAGCCAAATTGGACTCTTACAATGGGTCTATTATTGTGGTAGCTGAACACTTCCGTGTAACCATTCAAACCATACGGGAAATTATGCACTAAAAGGAGCATTTCAAAGAGGTTAGATTTGAAAATAAAAATGAAACTAAGGAAGAGGGAGGGGAAAGCATTCTCAACAGCAGGATGAATTTGCAAACCATCCTTTTCGATGCCCTTCATTGATTTATCTATCATTTTCCTATTTGGTATCAGAAGTGTGTTGTCTTCATGGTATTTATAAGCAGGGAATTGCTAACAGCAATACAAAAAAGAAGTACAAATCTTCAAGTCACTGACATTTCTGGGTTTTTCAATGCATCCTGTCTTCTCTCTGCTCAAAAACTTCTTTGGGGCAGGTATGGTCTTGAACAGTTCTGAGACTATTTTTAAAGCTTAGTGAGGCCAATTACAACAATAGAAACCAAGCAGTCCATTAATTACAGAATCATTTTCTGAGCAAGCTGTCATTAGTCATTGTCAGTTGTCATTCCACATCAGCCATTTCAAACAAGCTCAAAAAAGACACTGCAGCATAGCAAGTAGGTGAAAAGCTGCGAAAAAGAGGATCTGATGGAACTTTCACACTTTCAAGGCTTTCAAAGCCAAGCAAAATTCTCTGACATACAACCTAAATCCCCAGTCCCGACTACAGTTAAGGAGAACCAGGTGTCCAAATTACTTAGTTGATTTAGAAAAACTCAGCAGAAACTCTGTCTGACTCTTGACTTGGTAGAGAGAACTTATTCAAACTCTAATGCACTTACTTCAAGTATTTATTGTTTGTGTGAGATCTAATATTCTCTGTTCTGGCCATTTTATTTGGACAATAACTCTGTCCAGGGAATTAAATTCTATTAACCTTGCATGGTTCAGAGAACACAGAATGAAGTCAGCAGCACAATATTAATAATATACTTACTCATAAAACGTTGTCCAACCATTTTCATTGCTTTTAGTGGCAAGGAGACCAGAGTTGCCGTGGTACGTCATCATGGCCACTTCATGCCCCTGTGTTGTTACACTCTTGAGTGCGCTGTTGGTACCAATTGTCACCCAGTAGACTTGGCCATCAGGCACTACGAGCCAGAGGGGCATCCCCGTGGAATCTCTTCGGATATTCACTAAGTTGCCATTATTGTCAGTGATCAGGGTTATATCTCCATCCCCGGAATAAGTAAAATTGTAAAGATAATCTCCAGTGGTAAGGCTCTGAGTATAAAGGTGCTTACCACTGGTGTCAAACAAGTAGAGTTCCTGGTCTATGGGTGAGGATAACTCATACAGATTTTGCGTGTTGAGGAATGGTTTGTTTTTCCGAATAAAACGGATTCGAATATTTCCAAGATCAGCAACATACAGCTCCCCATCGGCACACACCGCAAGGGAGGATGGCGCATTGAGTTTGGCATCCTTGGCATAGCCATCGTCCCCTGAGAAGCAGTCACAGTTAGCATCGTTCTTGCAGTCACAGCTGCTTGGCGCTCCAGCAACAAGAGAAATCTCTCCATTAGTGGTGACCTGCCTGATGCGATTGATCTTTTTCTCATCAGTCTCAGCAATATATAGGATGCCGTTATGTGAGACAGCCAGGGCAGTAGCAGACTCCAGGGTGGCGTGGATTGCCACCTTGCTAAGGAGAAAGTGATCCATGCCCGGCACCTGGCAATGCATGGGCCTCCCCGCCACGATGCGCACTTGGTGGTTCTCAGATATCTGTAACACAACGTTATTGTCGAGCACATACAGCGAATTATCCATCGGATTGACTGCCAGATCCGTGGGCCATTCTAGACGAACCTGAATGGTAAAACAACACAAGGAAATTATTATAACAAGACCATTTTTCACTGCATGATTGCTATAGATCAATCACAATGAGGATGTTTCAACATGGATTAAAGGGAGAAAGGGTAAAAGAAACACAACTAATTATTACTGCTTGACATGGTGGCCACAGAGGACACAACCCTGGTGTGAGCGAGGGGGCTTAGCTGCCGGTCACATGAAGCAGACACATGTGGATACCCACGCTCTGCATTGCAGCAGTGGTGGGAGCAGGGCGATGGACAGAGGCAGGCCCTCAGCTCTTGCTCTGCCCCATGGCTTCTCTCTGCTTCTCCTTGGTGTAAGGTGTCAGGGGGCTGTGGGAAGGGGCATCAGTGCCTAGGGAATGCAGGAGTAAATAAGAAGATCCGAAGATTCAAGGGGGATTTCCCCTCGCCAAACAATTCTATGCTTTTTGGAACTGATGGAGCCTGGACCTGATAGCAGAGACCTGGGACTGGGAATTTTGTTGTGTGAAGTGCTATGAAATCAGTCAAACGAAACACTGATCCTTTTACTAAAGGATTTTCCAGAGAAGTGGCCGAGCTCCTCTGGATAAATGACAAGGAGGGATAGACATAAAACTGGCAGCTGTGTCAGCATGTATGTGTGTCTAAGTTATAACCACCAATTGTCTGCTTGATGCTGCAAAAATGCAAAATAGCAATACACAAGAAATTCAGGCAATTTAAATTCATGGAATAAAATACTTGTGTCTTCACAGTGGTTTTCACATTTTTTTTAGCGTAACGGAAGAATGGGCTCAAGGAATAGAGACACATCACAGTTCTACACTGATAATCCATATACACAAAAAAACTTGAAAAAGTGTCTGGTAGCACCACAAGTGAGTGAGCACTAGAAGGTCTCTATTTCGAGCTCTACTTCTGCAATACACTGTCTTTTCGAGTCTACTCTTTTAGTTGCCAAACCTAAGAAACGTTTACCAACAGAATTCAGCATAATTTATTTGTTTTATATAAAGAACTGTAAGGTGTGCATTTTTTTATTATTTTATTTTACTTCAGGTTTATATAGAAAAAAAAAGTCAATCTTGTGCTGATGAGAACCAACCAATGCTTAAATGTTTTCCTAATGGTGCATCTTCCCCATAGTAGAGATGCGAAGGGTGATTGGAAACAAACAGCTGTGAAGAATGCTCATGGTCACCTCCAGCCAGGCTTTTAAATAGATTTTTAAGTAGTTAGAAAAAATAGCTATTCAGTCAGCTAGGCAACTCTAAGTTAGAGCAGATGGACTTGATACCTAGCAGTTAACTGAGAAGCTGGCCACTTTGTGCCATTCTCCCTGCACCCGTGTGTTTTCTCCTCTGTACCCAACAGCGTGATGTGCTGTGGCTGAGAGCTCTGGGGTCTGGGCACACTCAAGGCTGTGCAGTTCTAGGGTCTCCCTGTTTCTTTGCTTCAAACCTTCCTCTCCCACCATCCATCTTAGTTGCTGCTGCTTCTCACTTGTGTGAGGTGGCTTAAGTTTGCAGGGGTATTTTGCATCTATAAGGTGGCAACCTTATTGGAAGGAGGAGGAGTAGATGCCAGCAGGCTCAAGTCCAGCAAACCATCTGTCACTGTTTTATTTAAAACCAAGAACAAGAAGAAACCAGGTAAGATCTAGAGGCACACAGGAGATTCATATTTTTAAAGCCTGTAGTTGAACATCTCTGCCACAGCCATGCTTTACTTTTGATACTTCTCTTCATGTTTAAATCCCTTTTCAACATTTTTTTTTTTTAGAAGAGCGT